CTACTACTACTACTACTACTACTACTACTACTACTACTACTACTACTTACTCCTCCTCCTGCTGCTGCTGCTGCTGCTGCTACTGCTACTGCTACTAATAACAATACTAAGAAAGTACTACTACTTCATGGTCCAATGGTCTCATAGCCGATTATTCAGGGGAGGTGGCCCCTATGAGTGGTATCTCATATCCTCTTGACCTTGTTGACCTGCCATGTGAGGGTGGGGCGGTTTATTGACATTATACTCACAGTCAGGCCCCCCCCATGGCCCTGGGCTAAAGGTACCACAATCAAGCCCCGTCCAAGATTGGATCTTCTCACATTTGCTCACCCAGTTCGTGGGTTGAGTGGATGTTGAAACGGGTCCAAAAGCGGAGACCCCAAAAAACCTGATACGTTGACCTCCCGTAGGTCGTCTATTCTGTTCATTCCTTGGAATATGTGTTAAACCAGGCTCCTCTTCGCGGTGCGACCCACAGCCACATGTTGATATCCGATCACCTTTGGAACCTCCTGGAAAGCGATCACATGTTCCACCAAAGATCAGAAATATCTTTTCAGCTACTCACCTTCCAAGTTAATACAAAACCTTTTTGTGGTGAGAGTGGAAGTATATAGAAGTATGGTATTTGCGTGGATTTGGGGCATGTCACATGCTGCCCAGGAAGCTCATCCTTGCATGCATATGTATATAATATATGATATAATGCAATTTCATGGGTGGAAAGGCCAGATGATGGCCAAGTCCAAATATTGGACACCTCTGAACATGTCATGCATCTCCCTGTCGAAGATGCTGTCCCGAAATCCGCTTCCCGATTCGGCCCCTGGTTCTTCACTGGCTGGGCGAGCAGCAAGGAGCGTTTTGCACTGTCAGACCAACTTCCTGGCGCATCGGTTGGAGGCCATCGCTAGTAGGTAGGCCACTGCTACTAGGAACAAGAAGCTACTAGTAGCTAGAAGCTACTAGGTGGAGGCCTTTCCTAGTAGGTTGGAGGCCATTGCTATTAATATCGTTTAATATCTATATATATATATATCAGTTGCATCTTCTTCAGGGTTCGTGTCGTCTCGTCTCGTGGGGAAAAGCCGCGCAGATGCCAAAGCGACGCCGGTGGCGAGGGCGGGCGGCATTCGTTTCGTCTCGTTAAGCAGGGTCCGTCCGTTCGAGGGGAAAGTATGAGGATGCTCCTCATTCATGCCAGTAGGGTATAGTAAAGCTTGCCTATGCAAGTAGCCTCTGGAAAATGCCGTGCGCAAGAAATAGA